ACCGCCGTCGTACGACAACGTGACCAGGCTGCCGCTGTGTTTCACGGTTATGATGGTGGGTCGGCCCTCCGCGGCCGCCGCCACCACCCGGTCCGCTACGGAGGTGTCCTGTAGTTGAGAGGCAGAGAGGGGCCGCGCAAAAACATCTATGTACATACATACGTACAAGAATAGCCGCGGCTTGTGCTGTGTGCTCCCGACCCTTGCGCGGTGTTTCGGCTTCGGCCCCAGGCTCTCACGGCCCACAGTGTAATCTAAGTCATACATACATACATACCCACCTGTCCCTCGTTTTCAAACTTGGGCAGGAAGGCCTGCTGGACCCTGGCGGCCACCAGCCTGGACAGGTCCTCGTTGGTCTCCACTTGCAGCAGCAGCCCGCGGTAGAGGGGCAGGTCGGAGGAGCTGGGGGGTTGAGGGGGGGGGCCGGGGGGTGAGTGGTGTGTGTATGTATGTGGGGGAGGGGGGTGACTACGTGCAGTGGTCACAAGCGAGCGGACCACAGGACTCAGAAGCTCTCAAAGACTGTATAATTTGTGTTTGTATATATATGTATATGTATGTCTGTCCACCATTGTGCAAAGCGGCCGGCTAGGCGCCAAGAGGGTACAAAGCGCTACCCTCGCATGTACGACAGCAGCGGTGTGTGTGTCGGCGGGTCAAGAGCACCCCTAGTGGGCAGTCCATGCCCGTGTACAGCCCCCGCAACCCATGCCACGTCCTCTCCTGCGACTGGTGTCGTACTAAGCCAAGTCGTACTGTCGTACTGCTGTACCTGAAGTTCTGGAGGTACTTTTTGAAGGCATGGTCGCCGTGCACGTGGACCACCATGCTGAACCGCCGTTGGCGGGATGCGGGGCCGCCGGCCTCCTTGACGACCCCGTCCACCACACCCCCGTCGGCCGTACTGCCGCCACCGCCGCCGCTACCGTTGCCGCCGCCGTTGGCCGCGGGTTCGACAACGGCCTCACTCGGCCATTCATGGACCTGTGTACGATCCGTACGACACCCCGCAGCGGGGTCTCAGGGAACTTCGATTGTGTATGTATGTATGTATGTAATTATGTATGTATGTTGTTACAGGGTGGTTAATTCGCCAGCGGCCCCCTTTCCCGGGGCAGTCCCTGCTCTCCCCTGCTAGAGGGGCACCCTAATCCGTCACCCCATCCGACTTCAGAATGTGCTCGTTGGGTTCAGCAACTCACCACCAGCATCCAACCAAATCTAGCGGATCAACGGCGCATCAACTTAGTTCCTGGTCAGCTCGCAAGTTGATATTATCACGTCCTACACCGTCCATATGATGGGGGGCCACCTCCCATTTCATCACTCCTCAAACACCCGAGGAGCCGGCAGGCGGATTTGAATCCAGGTCGACTGGGTCGACTGGGAGCAGAAGTCAGGCCTTAACCTCTACCAGCCGCCTGTCCTATATGTATGTACGTATGTATGTACGTATGTACGTATGTAATCTAATGAATGTACTTGTTATGTGTGTACGCACGCATGTACGTGTTTACATGTGCACATACACACACGCAAGTGGGGTTTGTGGGGTGAAGAGCTGGGGACGCGGCGTTCAGGCACACTAGCAGTAATGTCTAAGTGCGCCTTTGTCGTACCTTGTAACTTATAGGCAGCCTCAGCTGTTGGCACAGAATCATCAAATTTTGGACGAGCAGTGTGGCTGTTTGGCTGGCTGCTGCATCCATGGGTGGACTAGGAAAGGTGATTCGGCGAAGCGAGGAAGTTGGTGCTCGCGGGGTGTTGAGGGTTGGGGGGCTCCGCCGAGGCTTTTGGTGCTTGGGTGGCCCGGCTCGAGGCTTCCGTGGAGGCGGCGGGGAACGCACGGATGGGCGAGCTGTCGATGCTGTGATGACCGTGGGCCTTGCATTAAGAGATAAGGACTTCCTGGGCCCTGGGGTCGCTACCAGACGGCGAGCCTGGGACGCGAAAAGGTGCAACAAGCTAGATTTTGTGTCGACAGCAATCCTGGATAAAGATTTCATCAACATCTGTCAATTCAGTCGAAAGATTATATTTGCCAAAAGGGAATGTGCCTCGCAAGGCGATGCGCCGGCCCTTTAGTGACGCAGTACTTGCTGATACAGTTTCCGTTGGCTGCGTCATGGCCTACAGCATAGAGGAACTATCCCCGTAACCAGGCTATGCAATGCTTCGTTGCATATCATATTTGCTGATCAGTTGCCACGGTCAAAGCGAGTTACGCAGCTTGGCGAGGCTGCTGGCCGTAACTTGGCCTTACTTATTATACTGATTTTTGGCAGGCGTGTTTTTAAATTCATCCATTTGCTGCTCAGTTTTATCAATTTGTTGCAAATACACTTCTGAGCGTACCGAAATGTAGTCGCCACGCTTTAGACGAACACACAACGCGTGTGATGCTTAGGAATTTCTAGCTAGCCCAACTGCGAGGCTGCGTCTCGGAGGAGGGAAGCTTTGGCAGGTTGCCACTCGTCCGTTGGTTGGGCCATTTAGGCGGAGATAGAGCCTTCGTGCGCCTTGTCCTTTTGCAGCGGACAGTTGCTGTATTATCATAATAGGCTTCTAGGGCTCCAGACCGGTCTAACAACAAGCCATGTCCAGCGGCCGGCGCGGACGCAGCGGTGTCCGATTTGCAGCTGAGGAGGAGGGCGATGGAGCTGAGTCCGTCGCCATCCACCTGGGGGACCCCGACAGGGTTCCCAACAGGCCGGACAGCAACGACGATGTGCTCCTGCCAATGCACACTCCCGTCGAAACCGACGGCGAAGCCGACGCCGGCGACGGACTGCACCTGGGAGGCCTGAAAATGCTGCATCGTCACATGTCAAACGACGAGGCCAACTCGCGGCCGGAGTCCGACGCCGATGGACCCCTTGATGTCCCGATGTTGATCGGCACCGGGCCGGACATGGACCCGGTCACAGTGCAAGCTGCTAACTCCGGCGACGAAGGTCGTCCGGAGGGCGCCCTAGGCGCTCCTCCTGGCGGTATCGCGGCTGTTCGCGGTCATCACCACCGGACTTTGACGGGCAAGCCGGGCAAATCCGGCAAGTCCAACAAGCAATCCGCGGTCCTTCGCACGTGGCTGCGAATCGAGAAGAACGGCGAGCGGTCGCTGCTGCAGGTGCGCGTCGAGGTGCTGTCGTAACCGCCGCGGGCACTCACCCTCAGGTGGCTAGGTGGGTAGGTGGACGCGGGCAGGCGCAGGTGGATGGCGGTTAGGTTGTATGTCTTGTTAGGGTGGATGCGGCCACAACCCCACATGCGACCCAGATGCCGTTTGATGTCATGCGAAAAAACCCCAACACCCCCCCACACACACACACACCTGGCAGCAGCTTCACTCGTTTGTGGTTCGTCTTTCCCCCCCCACACACACACTCGTGCCCCTTCCCCCTCCCACACACACACATCACACATACCCCGCACTCCAGGCCGACAAGTGGCGAATCACTCACAAACTGGGTATTCAGACTCGCGATCTGCGGCTGCTGGACCCGGGCATGTCCACCACCTACCCCTCGGCCATCCTGTGTCGTGATAAGGCCATTGTCGTCAACCTGGAGCACCTCAAGGTGGTCATCACCACGTCATTTCTGCTCATTATTAACCCAGGTAGGTTGGTGGGGGGGAAGGGGGGGGCGGAGGGGGGAGAAATTATCTGCGAGAAACTCAAGGGATAAAAACTGGCCGCGTCCGAAGTCCAGAGTCCTAGACGGGGGAGG